ACTTCAAAGTTTGTGCCATGAAATTTTAGTACCTACCAAATACGCTCACGAGGGCTTTGTTCCGATTGTCATACAAATTGTCTCGGTGACGATAATTTTATACGTAAGAGGTGAACCACGGGAAGAAATAATTTTCCACGGTCCATCCAGGTGAACCAGACAGGTGGTCCACGGGCAAGAAGAGGATACGATAACGTTACCACTCGATTTTAGGTCAAAGTTCGTGCTTGGGCAATTGAATGGCGCTCGAGTACAGCACACTAGGAGTTGATATGAAGCAGCAAATTTGAAAAGTACATGCTACCGGAGCAGCGGCTCTAATTAAGATTATCTTGTGAAGAATAATCAGGCGTCATCGGCACGCCGGTCACGTGCGCGCGCTAATTGCACACGCGCAGAATTGCTCAAAAAACCGCCTCTGATGGGACATGTGCTCGAAACTCAGATGAAGTACGCGCGGCGTAAAGTACGAGACTTGAATTACGGCTGGAGCTGTAATTGACCCAGGAGTGCCTTCGTCGCCCTGCGTGACGCGTTACAGTGGTTGCGTTCCGTTTGTGTCAATTTAAGTTGCCCTGAGGTTTCATATGGAAAGTTTAAGAAGGAAAACTGTGTGTATGAAATATTATATATATCAGCTAGAAACCTCATTGCAATGACATAATTATTGCCTTGCTCTGCAAGCAGTAGTTGCGCAGAATCATATATTATTGAAAAGTAGCTACAATATAAACGTTCAATGGAGGACGCAATATTTTTTACGCGTTGCCTACAACCTACAACGACAAATAAAAGAGAAAAGAAGAGCACGACGCGGCCTCGGGAGCAGTTTTGTCACGAGACGCGTCGCGATAGTCGATGCGACGTCGGCTGCGCGGTTATTGTCTTGTGCTTCCACTTATCTTCCTACAATTCTATTGCCAGTAGTTTCTTGTTTATTTCAAAGTTGAAAGTCAAAGTTACAGTGAAAGCGAAGGAAAGTGACATAACAATATTTATTACCGATAGTTTTGACAAGTGACAAACGATGTAGGAGGAACGATATCAATCAAACAAACTCTACAAAAAATGCCTTTCCTGCTTACTGTGAAACTTTTGTTACAAATATCATTTCAGAGTTTGTCTGTTCCACTTTTACAGACATTTGTATTATTTGTGGTAGGTGAACTATTCAAGGTACCTTTAGTAATCTCTGAGCGCGTCGCCTCCTTCTGAGGGTCCCAATCTATTGACAGAATGCATTATTCTTGCGCTGCCGTCCCAGAGACCTTATCGCTCCTGTCTTCGAAGTATTTCAGCTATTATTTCACTGCGAAATGTAAATGACGACTACGACAACTACGAAACTATGAAAGTGTTCAAGACATAGTTCAAAAATTCTTTGCAATTCTTTAATAATTGATACATGTGTTTAAATGAAATAGGAGTGAGCGTGATGAATAACGTACGCTTATCCGGAACTTAGTTCAATTAATTTCAAGGATAACAAGTCTCCAGCCGAGCTATCCAATATAAAGGCTTTGTTTATTAAAACCGAATTTAGTGTGGCCGGGATTTTGTACGGAAGTTTAATAGTCGATGTAGAATTAATTACAGCGAGCGAGCGGTGCGTAACTTGTGTTCTGTAATCCCACGGCCGCAATCGCGCGGCGGCGGCGCCTTAAATCTGAGCTTAGGCCGGAGCAGACGCGGCGAACGGTGGACGGCGCGGGCCGCCCTAATCTCACAAATTATACTTACGTGTACCTCGCGTTATCGAATTAAAACTTAATTATTTAATGCGCTTGCGGCGCTGATTTTGTGAGTTCGCTTCGTTGGAATTCGTCCTGTCAGGCAGCGGGTGAATCCAATCGAGCCGACTCCATTGATATAACAAATCACAATCTGGTGAAAATATACGAAGGTTCTACGCTTTGTTTCTACAAATGGGTATACGTTGCATTACTTCTTTCAATTGTAACTATTGTGATATTTACTGCCATAAAAATCCCTCATAAAAACATGAACAAACAAGAAAGCCTAAAGAAAATGAAACATAAGTCCATTACTTGAGCCTTGACTACGCAAACAACTTCGAGGCTCGTGCCTTGTGACATACACGATATCGGATCGACAATGTTTGACGAGCAATTGTCTCGTGTCGCCTTTAAATGCAAAACCAATACTTCTTAAACACCATTCGAGACATATTGACCGCTTTAGAATACAAAAACCGCGCGATACTCACCTCTATTTCTGTGTAACAAGGTGCTTGTATAAAGAAGTGATAGTACGAGAATGTTGCAAATTTGTTTACAAAAATCTTTCAAGCCTGTGTAACGGGGAGCACTGTGTAAACTGTTGCGTGAAAGCCGCGGCCCGCACTTGACGCACGACACGCGGAAGACGCGGGGACGACGTGGGTACGGCATGGGCAAACACGTAGCCGCGATTGATATTGTTTGCTCATACTGTTATATGTTTTTTACACTGTTTTTTAGTGTCAAGGAGAAGTAAAGTTAAATTGTTATATATTTAAGACTTTATGTATTTTATTTATGCTACAAAACTCTTGCAATTGTTTTAACCAATTAACAAAATGCGATTCAATGATGTACTTAAAATGGCGGCTTGATTGGACCGTGCCAAAGAGAGGCAAGCGGAAGTGTTTGTTTGTCGTTGCCATTGAACCGAGTGCTGAGCTTATGATTATTTCAAACAATAGTCGGGTGACCCCAGATTTGATTGTTCAACATTGTAACTGATGTTGAGTACGCGCTATTAGTTGGTATGCATTGACCTACCATAGGTCAATGTTGGTATGATTACAAATTTACAAAATACATGAGCTGTCAAATCAAAACGCCAACTTTGTTCTAATTAGTGGATTTTTGTAGGTAGCTTCACGATCTTTACCTGTAGCGAAGGTCGTGCTCGCAGGCGCTTGTTTAGGATGTTTGTCGAGAGACGTCGGGACTTGCCCGCGGGCTTTAGCAATGTTCCCGCAAACTCAGCTATTATTTATTGCCAAGTTACAGAGAAATGTTCACTTGGGAATTTCCTTTAAACACGAATTTGAAAGAAATTTCCGCATTTCAGTTTATTTATGATACAATTCCAGATGCTATTCTGTTTTAAAAAAATAGAATTAAGCCCTTAAAAATCGTCTCACAGACAAGCGCTGCAGCACGAGGCCCGACGTCGTCGTAAGGTCGCCGGAAAGGGAAGTTGGTACGTAATTAGCCGACTCCTCGGTGCCAGCTTTGTTAGTTTAGAACTAGTTGTAGTTGCACTCGTTATTGTCTCTGACGCGAGCCTAGGAGTGCGCACTCTACTCACTACAAGACAAAATCTATTTGACTAAAGAGGTTCTCCAATCTGGACTCCAGCTTTTATAAATCTAATTGAGATTGAACTTTTAATTTCTTCAAATTTACAGAAATGTGTAAGTTTAGTGATAATGTGCAAATACGAGCTGCGCTACACCAATATTATTTATTTAATTATTTATGTGTTTACATCCGACAATCCGTTTAAAAGCCCTTGGCTGTAAACATGTTTTTGTACACGTAATGACGATATCCGTGTTTTAAGATGTTTAAAACGGTTGCTTGCTTAATACTCAGTAAATCATAAACTTCCCAATGTATCATTTGTTTATAATGTGCAGTATATAGTCCTGTCATTTTAATACCTTTCTAAAATTAACTATAGCGTTGTTGAGTAACAAATCAACGACTCGTTAAGGCGAGGCATTTCAACGCCAGCCTAGACATTAGGGAGTGAAGTGTGGGGAGTCGCCCCTCGCCTCCCGCAATCGCGCGCTTTAAATTAATATAAATAAAATAAGAACAGGCGGAGAAAATTTTATACAGATCCGTCGTCGACAAGCGCCCGATGGCGACTGACGGGGCAGCGGGCAAATTTTGGGACAAATATGAATTTAATAATAATAACGAATAGGGCTTTAGTTAAAAATCAAAATTTAGGAGGTTTTAAAGGTGCTTAAAGAGAAATATTTCCATTTAAAAATTATGTACAACGGTTGACAACGTTCTCCTCCGGCGATTCGCATTCTATCGATAATCTCAGTACAAAGTACTAAAATACCGACCTCAAAAGTACGTGTAATTACATATAATTATCAAGTTTTATTGAAATTGGTTATCGAAAAGTACGCAAACCCGGATTCACCCCTTAGTTCGCCACTATACGGGACTTGACACAGGAAATAATAAAAATCGGTTCTCAAAGTATATTGAGGGAGAAAAACGCCTTAAATTAAAATAATTGCTCCTTACAATAAAATTTAGGCGCTATCTATAAAAATGAATCTTCATACGTGAACAGCAACCCTTAGAGGTGGATGATTTTCTTTAAAATTAAATGGGACCACTATGGAGGTACCCTCTTTCTAACAAAAAAAGAATCATGGAAATCGGTTCACAATTACCGGAGTTATTGCGTAACATACACACACAAAAAAATATACAGTCGAATTGAGAACCTCCTTCTTTTTTGAAGTCGATTAAAAAGGGCATCGCGGTGTCACCTGATTTGTTTACGTAAAAATATGAATTTGAAAATAATAACATTATGTTAGATAGTCAGTTTAGCAGCAAATTAAGAATGATATAATTACTCAACATCATTGCAGTAAAAGCTTTGGACCCTTTTGGAAAGCTGTAAATAAATTAAATCACAAAACGAGTGCCCCCGCGACTATCGCGGGTGTTCAAGACCCTAAGGATATAGCCGACCTCTTCCAGAGTCATTTCAAAGTGGTTTCCCCATTGGGACCTTCTGCGCGGGTGTTTAATGCTGGGGCCATATCTGAGACTACCTTAACTATAACTGCAAAGCAGGTGGCTTCTATAATAAAAACCATGGTTAGGGGTAAGTCACCGGGGCACGATGGTCTCTGCATTGAACATCTGCTGCATGCAGGTGTTCACTTGCCCAGGGTTCTTTCAATGTTTTACACCCTGTGTATGGGCCACTGTTACTTACCGGACGATCTCATGCGTACTGTTGTGGTCCCAATTGTGAAGAATAAGACCGGTGATTTTTCTGAGCTGTCCAACTATAGGCCGATTTCATTAGCAACCATTGTAGCCAAGGTGCTGGACAGTGTGCTGGATGGTTATTTGAAGGGGCACCTCCGTTTGAATAACGCGCAGTTTGGCTTCAGGTCTGGATTGTCTACGGAGAGTGCCATCATGTGCCTGAAGCGCACTGTCCAGTACTATACAGCTGGAAGAACACCGGTTTTCGCGTGCTACCTCGACTTGTCCAGAGCGTTCGATCTAGTATCTTATGACGTGCTGTGGGATAAGATCGAACAACAGTCGACCATGCCTTATGAGATCACATCCCTCTTAAGGTTTTGGTACAGCCACCAGAAAAACAGTGTGAGATGGTCCGGTTCGTTTTCAGGCGAGTGCGGGTTGGAGTGCGGAGTGAGGCAGGGGGGGTTAACCTCGCCTCGGCTCTTCACTTTTATATGAATGAACTGATCGAGGAGCTCAACAAAACTAAAGTTGGGTGTCACGTTGATGGCATTTGCGTGAATAACATCAGCTACGCAGACGATATGGTTTTGTTGAACCCCTCGATCGGTGCTCTCAAGCGTCTTTTGCAGATTTGTGAACGGTATGCGGTGGTCCATGGACTCAAGTACAATGTTAGTAAAAGTGAGCTGATGGTTTTTAAGGCTGGTACGAAAACTTATAATGTACCACCACTCACTCTCTCTGGCGCTCCTTTGAAGACAGTCACTAAATTTAAGTACTTGGGTCACTGGGTCACCGAAAACCTCTGTGACAACGAAGACATCGAGCAGGAGCGGAGATCGTTGGCAGTCCGATGCAACGTGTTGGCCCGCAGGTTCGCGCGGTGTACGAGGGACGTAAAAATAACGCTCTTCAAAGCGTTTTGCGTCTCCTTTTACTCGTGCGCCGTGTGGGTGAACTATAAGCAGAAGGCGTACGACGTACTCCGCGTACAGTATAACAACGCGTTCCGGGTGTTGTTGGGGCTGCCGCGGAGGTGCAGTGCGTCCGGCATGTTTGCCGAGGCGCGGACGGACGGCTTTGCGGCTGTCATGAGGAAGAGGTGCGCCTCCCTCGAAGCCCGCATCCGTGCCAGCCCCAACACCATCCTGTCCGCGTTCGCCGACCACTGGGACGGCCCAATGGTCGCCCGGTGGTCGTCACTACATGTCTAACGTTGGAGGTTTTTTAGTTTAGTTTGATATTTTATTTGTAAATTTTTATTTTTTACTAACAATAGTGCTCAAGATTTTCTTTTTATATGATACTAACACTTATGGACTTATGGTCTGAAATAAAGATTTTTATTATTATTTATTATTATTATTATTATTAGTCTATATGAATAAAATATGATTGGAAGTAAAATATTTTCACATTTGGCGATCGGTCGGGTGGCGACGGCGGCGGCGGGTTGCGTGTCGTCGGTGTATGTAAATTGTTTGCTACAAATCCCGTTAAAGACAAATCAGTAAATATGGACATGGAGATAAATTTCGTCAAATTCAATTTAGTTGTTGCAAAAACGAAGACTTGTGTGCGGTCTAATCTTAATACGTTAATGTCACCACTGTTGTAGCTACATCTATTTCTTTTTAAATACGTATACAAATCAACAGGTTTATTTGAATCCCAGCGAGATCAGTTTTTGTAATTACTAGTTATCCTCCCGACGAGCGAGATCGTTTGTAATAGAATTTAGCGTCTCACAGAGTCACCGGGCTACAGATGGTCAGTTAACTGAGTGCACTAGTTGCACATCCGTTCGGCCCCGGGGGCGGCACCGCGGCGGCGGCGGTCAGAAATGTCGGCGATTCTATTGCCGACAGATTGACAAGACAAACGACCGCGTGGCTGCATCCCCACGTCTACCCACCCCGCAACCGAAAACCTCACTCGCGCGAAATTTTATCCCTGACACATTGTGACTGTTTTAAAAGTTGGTTAAAAAATTTTGATGGAAACTTTACATAGTTTGGGTCTCTGTGCAAAGAGCACTATAGTTAGAAAGATATGCAGATTTTATTTGTAAGTCAATGTGCAGATAGCACGTTTTTTGTCGTAATACTAGCAAATGTTTTTTATTATTAAAAAAAAATATAAATACAAAGATTAAATACAAATACTTACGAAATTACCATTTTTAAGTATACTTGGTTTTAAAAAATCTGAGTGGACGTGGAACGAATGATATTCTTCTATCTTGTGGCCTTTTACAGGAAGCTTCTAGTGAACAATTTGAATTTTCCGCACAAGCAGTACAGTTTTTAACCACTTCAAAAAAAGAAGGAGGTTATACGTTCAGCTATATGTATGTTTTCAAATTACTCCGTCAATAGTGGAACGATTTTGAAAATTCTTTTTTGTATGAAAGGGTGCACTCTCATGGTGGTCCCATTATCACCAAATCAGAATTTGAAGAAGGAATCGCGGGAAATCCTCAAATTTTATAGGCATGTCCGTGTATTTATCGATTTCTCCATCAATTGCGAACCGATTTTGAAAATTCTTTTTTGTTTGAAATTCTTTTTTGTATGCTCTCTGGGTGGCTCCTGATGCTGTTCCGGATTCCTTTGGGCTATCACAAATTACTAATTATTTTCCACAAATTAAAGTCGACTTTTCATTTGATACAATATATGTAATCAACAAATCACCATCACCATGACAACCAGAAAAGATTGTACAAAATGTACGAAGGAGTCCGTAACAGTCGTATTGCCAACAAGTCAGAATCTGTATGGTAGTTGATACGATCGCGTAAATCGTATTGACACCTCTGACGCTTTGGCCGGGCAGCCTCTGTCCTGCTTGATGCGGAGCACTGTTTCAAGATTTCCGATTTTTGTCTTACTCATGGAACTCTTTCGACCACTATTTTCGTAAATCATTAAGCGATCTCTATCGCTGCTTTAAAAACAATTACCTAAAGTTTACACCAGTCAGTGGTAATCGAGCTGCCTACATATAAAATGTTTTTTTTGTTAAGTTTTTTTAGGATGGGACGGAGCCAGGTAGTTGGTATGATCGCATCAAGTCGTATTCCTAAAATAATACTTCAGAAGAAACTACTCGTGCATCTTCTTTGAAAAGTCTGTTATGTGAACCCTACACACAGCTGTTGGAGGCGACTACCAGGAGGTACTCAGGATAAAAATCTTTGTAATTTAATAGGTCGTTGACATCCGTCGATCACTCACGTTCATCAATCACTTTCTTTGATCAATAGTCATGTGAATGATGATTAATTATGCGGGTATTTTATTGTATTACTTTGAGAATAATTAACACCCCTAAATTCCGTGTTTGACGACACAATACTTACATTTACCGAAAAAATGCACCCCTCATAAAGTCTTCGGGAGACATTTTGTTTCTAAACTATGCGTTGCCATAAAGTACCTACAACAACTTAAGAAAAGTAAAGTTTTCTAAATGGTCCTGTCAGGAGTTCAGCTCATATTGTCTGCGTCATAAGAAAAGACTAACTTAAATGAACATAATTAAATTAAGTAAACACGTTCTGCAACATGCGTCAAGTACTCAAATTACAATAGTCTCGTAACCCTTAATCCAGTCCTAACGTAAAATAGTAAATTAAGGCAGCCAATCACGAGACTTATCACCGCTTAGAGATACACACTTGATACATGTTATCTGTTTTTGGTATTATAATCTTGAGATTGTTTTTTTTTGTGCAAGTATATTTTTCAATGCATTTGGAAATACTTTAAATTTACTCTTGGACAAGAATTTACTAACTTAAAAGGAAGAGTTCATTTTAATAAGATCAAACTTAAAACTGAATTTTCTGTTAATTTGAGCTGAGTAGTTGCAATTTTAATAAATGTAACGTAAAAATAAATAAATCGGTTCTTGGAGGTCAGCAGACCACCTCCACGGTTCGTTTTCTTATTTTTGAGTATCGATTATCACATTGCTAAATTTGATTATTTATTACAATTCAATAAACGACCTACATTTAACTTACTTTTACTTTTGAATTGCTCATGGTACTTATGCCAAACAAGACAATTATTGTGAAACCTATTTCTTTATCATAATTGTCTTTTTAACCGACTTCAAAAAAAGGAGGAGGTTCTCAATTCGACTGTATGTTTTTTTGGGTGTATATTACGCGATAACACCTATTTGTGAACCGATTTTCATGATTCTTTTTTTGTTGAAAAGAGGGTATTTCCATAGTGGTCCCATTTAATTTTGAAGAAAATCATCCACCTCTAAAGGTGGCTGTTCACGCATGAAGATTCATTTTTACAAATAGCGCCTAAATTTTATTATAAGCAGCAATTATTTTAATAGTTGACTTTGCTATTCTCCAATTCAAGGCGTTTTTCTCTCTCAATATACTTTGAGAAGTAAGAACCGATTTTTATTATATTTTAGTGGCGAACTAGGAGATGAATCCGGGCTTGCGCACTACCCGGTAACCGATTTAAATAAAACATCGTAATTATATGTGATTCTACGTACTTTTGAGGTCGGTTTTTTAGTACTCTGTACTGAGATTATTAAAATCGACATTTAGATATTTGCCAACTAAGCAACTTTGTACCTTTAGGTGACATTTTGACATCAAAAGCGTCTCTTATTTCTATTTAGCGACAAAAAATTTGCTATTTTTTGGCGCGTATTTAATTAGGTTTAATCGTTTAACATTTAATATTATTTTTACCCTAGTATTCAGGAGACTTTTGTCTGTACAGTACAGGTATATTATCTATTAGTAGGACCATAAAGTTCTAGCCAATTAAATGGACCTTCAGTTTAGTGATTCAAATTAGTTCAAAATGCCTGGTTATATGGTAACTCGTGGTCACATATCTTTCTCGTGTTTACAACACAAAACAACGTTTACTTATTAATTTTTAGGTTGTGACAGCAACTTATTGAAATACTGCCGTTATCAAGTAGTGTTTGTGTTAAGCAAGTAAAGTGTATTAGTGCATTTGTGTGGAAAACTACATCAGTGTGTGACCGGCACACCCAGGAATGTGTCTCAAATGTCTGCAAGAGTCAAGGGGACGTGGACAAGTTGAACATCCTTTAAATTTAAATTAAGTTCAATGTTATTTATCACCTATTTTTCTCACTTTTTTTTCTTCTGCGTGTGCCAATGACACGAACGCCGCCTGTGGGGCAGTAGATGTACTAGCACCGTTGATTGGCTTTTTTAAATCTGGACGAACATTTTTTAACTGCGCTGATTTTACATTTAAAGTAGATAAAACTCATGTATGTAGGGTTCTTAACGTGATAGTTTCGCCTTTATAGCATCCTACCCTGTATAGCGGCCATCTTGGATTCGCCATATTGAAAAAAATTTGGTCCCGGTAAAACCTGATCAAGTTCAAACACCTGAATGAAAGATTAAGTCAATTCTCGTAATGTCTTTTCGTCATATGATCGGCGATTAAGACATAGGTCTAATCATTCCATTTCTCGTAATGCCTTTTTGTCATGTGGTTGGCTAAGTAATTTATTTAGTTCTAAATCACAAAATACAATACCACCTAATGTTTAGTATAGGTACTTAACTAAACACTACACTACTTACCTGTCTATATTTACTAAAAATGTAATAAAAATAAACAAACTTTTTATATAGATTTTAAGACTTTCGTGGTTATTCACTAAATGATTATCACTAATATCAGGTTTCTTACCACGGTATGACTTCTTTTTATTTTCCCGATATTTCGGAACGGGTTGACTGGGACCAGTGAACCAGTTAATCATTTTACATTAATTAATTCAAGTTTAACACACTTTGTCTTCTTTTTTTATATTAAACCAATAAACTACCTTTGAAAGGGTATCATTAATAATAGTGTCATAGTTAACGTCATATCTGTCTATTTTAAAAATCAAGGATGTATCGTCAGCAAACAATACTATTTCGCAATGGTCCTTAATAAAGAATCGCAGATCATTAATATAAATGACAAATAAGAAAGATCCAAGCATTGAGCCCTGCGGAATACCCCTTTTTACCGGAGAACTTAAAGTAGTCACTCCATTTATATCTACTTTTGAATTCTACCGTTAAGATATGCCGAGACAAGTTGCAACGCCTTGCCACTTACTCCGTCATATTCCAGCTTTCTAATAATAGTAATATGATCCACGCAATCAAATGCCTTTGATAGGTCAC